TAGTTGTGGGCGCATGTTGCTACTGACAGTAGTTGAACACGGTTGGAAAGACGCTGATAGAGACACACACAGAGACTGACAAGAGAGAGGTGGACAGACACAGACAAGAGGAACACAGAAAGAAAGAAACAGAGACGACAGAGACACAGTCAGCGAGAGAGAGGCACAGAGGGGAACAGAGACACAGACGGACAGAGAAATGTTGAATCGAACAAACTTAACTCGCTCCATTGAAAGAGATTCCTAAATCTTTGCCCATCTCCGGAAGTTGTTCTAGTTTCTATTTATTTCATTGTGTGTGGTGTGTACGTGTAAGCAATCTGGGATATCGATGTCCTTGAATAATCACACGGAGACGTCTGGTTGAGGCAACGCGTTTATTATAACTCTTTCGAACTCGGCTCTACACACTACTGTAACACGAAGGGGTACGGCCCCTTCCACTCGATAGCCTCCGGGAGTGACAGCCTCCCCTTCTATCGCAGCCTGCACACTCCGGGCTCTGCTACCCACATGTCCCTTAGCCCGGCGTTAAGGGAAGACTGGACGACCCGTCCCAGCCAGGGTACGGGAGCTCACCTCTGGTCCGCTACAACCCGGCTCTAACAAGAGCCTCGGTTGAGGGTCCCCGGTTGCTGGTCCAGTCTTCAGGTCTTCGGATGTCTTCAGGCTTGAGTTGGTGAACACTGCCCGGCCCGTCCAGAGGGCCGGGCTTTTATCCCCAGGTCGGGGTCACCCATCCCCTCCTGACCCCCACCTCTCAGAACCTTCTGGAAGGTCTTATCTTAAGGGGCCTTAGGGACGCGTGGGGGGTCAGTGGTGTTAATCTCCAGTCACGGGGGGGGGCTGAGGGTTTAACCTTTGGTCGACCCCTACGCACCTCGCTCTCTCTCGGCTGCCCCCTGTTGACCCGTGAACGTGGTGGCAGGTCAGCTTACAACGCCTTATGGCGCTTATGCACAACTTCGTGACTAACGCTGCACGTTCCGTCGTTTTCATGCAGGGGGCGCTGCAAACGTACGTACCCCCTGCATAAACGACGGAGGCGCAGTGACAGACGTTCGATCGCGTTGGAATCGATCTGCAGACGGCGGTCTTCTCGCACGGCCAGCTCTGTGTCACCTCATCTCGATCCCGCGATCCCAACCAGGTGAAAGTCCGCATCGAACCGAACCCCCGGCAAGGCCATCTACTTAACGACGAGAGAAAATTTACATGAAATGTCGTTTTCAATGAATACACTTTTAATGAAGAAATACAATTATCTCATTCTGAGTGGTGTTGTGGAGAATGTATCTACTGGATGTGCTCTGCCTTGTAACCGAATACAAATCTGATTCAGTGCAAGCCACCTGTGGACCCTTATTGGTGTACAGCATCTCAAGAGCAGCCGGGCTTGCTTCAACCGATAGTTTCGAACATTCAGACGTTAATCAGCAAGGAGCATTTCTAGACCTAATTTGACAAAATCTACATCAACACGTAAAACAATTATAATTCGTGTTGTAGAGAATGTATCTTCTTTTCGTGTAACTTTTGAGTGGTATGCCTTGTAACTGATGAATGATCCGAGTGTGCTCCCTATTTCAAAGATAATGAGTTGCTCCAGAGGGAGATGCTTCCTGAAAACGCAAAAATACCCTTTGACCTGTATCACAAGAACAATGAGTCTCACCTGAGTTATCTGTACAGGTTACTTCCAAAAAACACTTTGTCCTAACATTACTTATTCCATTTTTTACCCTTTTAGGCAAAATGTTACATATACGCACACAATCAGACAAGTATTCATTCTAAATTATTGAGTTATTTTAACTAAATTTTATTACTGCACTGAAATATACTGCATCAGGTTACATCGCATTAACTAGAAGCTATTTTAAAAACATACGCACCGTCTGCTTAACAGTGTATGTACAACATACTATTACAGTGAGAGAAAAAAGTATTTGATCCCCTGCTGATTTTGAACGTTTGCCCACTGACAAAAAAATGATCAGTCTATAATTTTAATGGTAGGTTTATTTGAACAGTGAGAGACAGAATAACAAGAAAATCCAGAAAAACACATGTCAAAAATGGTAAAAATAGATTTGCATTTTAATGAGGGAAATAAGTAGTTGACCCCCTCTCAATCAGGTGTCTTTTATACAGGTAACGAGCTGAGATTAGGAGCACACTCTTAAAGGGAGTGCTCCAAATATCAGCTTGTTACCTGTATAAAAGACACCTGTCCACAGAAGCAATCAATCAGATTCCAAACTCTCCACCATGGCCAAGACCAAAGAGTTCTCCAAGGATGTCAGGGACAAGATTGTAGACCTACACAAGGCTGATGAGCTACAAGACCATTGCCAAGCAGCTTGGTGAGAAGGTGACAACAGTTGGTGCGATTATTCACAAATGGAAGAAACACAAAATAACTGTCAATCTCCCTCGGCCTGGGGCTCCATGCAAGATCTCACCTCGTGGACTTGCAATGATCATGAGAACGGTGAGGAATCAGCCCAGAACTAGACGGGAGGATCTTGTCAATGATCTCAAGGCAGCTGGGACCATAGTCACCAAGAAAACAATTGGTAACACACTACGCCATGAAGGACTGAAATCCTGCAGCGCCCGCAAGGTCCCCCTGCTCAAGAAAGCACATATACATGCCCGTCTGAAGTTTGCCAATGAACATCTGAATGATTCAGAGGACAACTGGGTGAAAGTGTTGTGGTCAGATGAGACCAAAATGGAGCTCTTTGGCATCAACTCAACTCGCCGTGTTTGGTGGAGGAGGAATGCTGCCTATGACCCCAAGAACACCATCCCCACCGTCAAACATAGAGGTGGAAACATTATGCTTTGGAGGTGTTTTTTCTGCTAAGGGGACAGGACAACTTCACCGCATCAAAGGGACGATGGAGGGGGCCATGTACCGTCAAATCTTGGGTGAGAACCTCCTTCCCTCAGCCAGGGCATTGAAAATGGGTCGTGGATGGGTATTCCAGCATGACAATGACCCAAAACACACGGCCAAGGCAACAAAGGAGTGGCTCAAGAAGAAGCACATTAAGGTCCTGGAGTGGCCTAGCCAGTCTCCAGAACCCAATCCCATAGAAAATCTGTGGAGGGAGCTGAAGGTTCGAGTTGCCAAACGTCAGCCTCGAAACCTTAACGACTTGGAGAAGATCTGCAAAGAGGAGTGGGACAAAATCCCTCCTGAGATGTGTGCAAACCTGGTGGCCAACTACAAGAAACGTCTGACCTCTGTGATTGCCAACAAGGGTTTTGCCACCAAGTACTAAGTCATGTTTTGCAGAGGGATCAAATACTTATTTCCCTCATCAAAATGCAAATTAATTTATAACATTTTTGACATGCGTTTTTCTGGATTTTGTTGTTGTTATTCTGTCTCTCACTGTTAAAATAAACCTACCATTAAAATTATAGACTGATCATTTCTTTGTCAGTGGGCAAACGTACAAAATCAGCACGGGATCAAATACTTTTTTCCCTCACTGTACGCCATTTAAAACGAGTAGGCCATTGCATGCTGGCGTTTGGGTCAAAATTGATCAAATTATAAACATTACCTACAAACTCCACACCTGAGATGCCACATCAACCATCACCCTCGACTGACAGGCTCTTGTCCACATGCAGGTCGGTGCAGGGCCACCACCTTGTGCCACACAGGGGCAGCTGCTACTTGGGGATGCTCTTCGAGTGTTTGAGACGAGATACGATGCAAAACTCCTTATTGCCGAGGTGATTAAGCAAGCACCATATAATTGCAATTGATAACATAGTCAACGCTTGGGAGCTTATTGGCTCTTGCTCCTGGTTAGAGATCTACCCAACCCACAGGTCCGCAAAGACTGGCCGCTCTTACCCTGCAGGTTGAACCTAGGAATTGAGTGTTCAACTTCATTCTTGTCATTAAAGACCTGTGACAAAGGTGCATCTATTGCAGCGACATCATCTCAAGCTTACACATCTACCGGGTCTCCATTTGACTTTGTATTGTCTCGGAGGAAGTCCACCCACACCTCCACTTCCACAAACTGCTGAGAGTTGCCTCGCTCTGCCTCACAGTCAGAATTCTCCTCCTGCTTAACGTTGCCTCCCTCGATGTGAAGGTCCGATTTTGGAGTAGAATTTTCATCTTCACATTTTACCTTCACTTCTTTGCTCTTCACCATCACTTCTTCACATTTCACCTTCACCTCTTCATGTTTCACTTCGATCCCTTTAAAAGTGTCCAAGCTGCGATTTTCTTCCGGTTCTTGTTTCATGAGGGATGGGCTCATTGCGACACTTTGACTTCCACAAGCTGATTTCAGACTCCACTCCTTGTGGATCTTCTGATGCTTTTGAGTTCTCTGGTGTCTTTGAAGATGTGATGACTGTGCAAACGCCTTCCCACACACACTGCACTTGAAGGGTTTCTCTCCCGTGTGTGTTCTCTGGTGTTTTTGAAGAGCAGATGAACGTGCAAACGCCTTCCCACACACACTGCACTTGAAGGGTTTCTTTTCTGTGTGAGTTCTCTGGTGTTTTTTAAGAGCAGATGAAAGTGAAAACGCCTTCCCACACACATTGCACCTGCAGGGTTTCTCTCCCGTGTGTGTTCTCTTGTGTGCTACAAGAGCAGATGAATCTGTAAACGCCTTCCCACACACACTGCACTTGAAGGGTTTCTCTCCCGTGTGTATTCTCTGGTGTGTTATAAGAGCAGATGAACGTGCAAACGCCTTCCCACACACACTGCACTTGAAGGGTTTCTCTCCTGTGTGTGTTCTCTGGTGTGTTACAAGAGGAGATGATTGTGCAAACGCCTTCCCACACACACTGCACTTGAAGGGTTTCTCTCCCGTGTGTATTCTCTGGTGTGTTACAAGAGCAGATGAACGTGCAAACGCCTTCCCACACACACTGCACTTGAAGGGTTTCACTCCAGTGTGAGTTCTCTGGTGCCGTGTCAAATGTGCAGGACGATCCGTGCTGTATGCACCGAGCTGCGCCGAGTGCCTTTGCTCCATCAGACAAATTCTGCAGAGGAAGCGTCAGCTGCAGACAGAAAAATAATATCCACACCATCTACACGTCAGTATCGATGCACAGAGGAATGCATAAACACAGTCACACGTGACTTACACGTCTATACTTATTCATATATTCATGATATAGTGAAAAAGTGTCCCAAATTCATCACACAGGCTGTTATGGCACACAATGAGTGGGCAAATGTCACAATCGTGCCTGGAAGCCCTCGTATCTTCACAATAAATGTTAACCCAAAACTCCGAGCACACAATTTCGGCTGTCTGGCTACAAAAGGAATATTAATGAAAGCTAAATTCAGCTGACATAGCAAAGGGTGTGGAAAATAATACTATGTGTTATGCAGAAATGCATAAAATAATGTTCAATTGCAACTTAGAGGTGTGAAGCCAGGCACGGATGTCCTTGAATACTGGGATGAACAGTTATGACTTCAGCTGCACGTGTGCTGTGATAACTTCCTGACTCCATTCTTACAAAGAGTTCCAGAAGAAAACAAAAATAAACTACCGTTTTGATATAACCTCCGTGCTCAATAGAGTTAATAGACTTTAATGCAAATACAAACTTGGCACTGTCACACACTCAGAGGTGGAGCCAGGATTTTCAGGTAGGGGGGGCAACCCCTTCTGCAATGAAAAATTTAAGGAGTTGTTAGTAAGTAAGAAGTTGTTAGTAAGTAAGGAGTTGTTAGTAGGGAGTTGTCAGTAAGGAGTTGTTAGTAAGTAAGTCGTTGTTAGTAAGTAGGGAGTTGTTAGTAAGGAGTTGTTACTAAGTAGTGAGTTGTTAGTAAGGAGTTGTTAGTAAGTAGCGAGTTGTTAGTAAGTAATGCGCTGTTAGTAAGTAATGAGTTCTTAGTAAGGAGTTGTTAGTAAGGAGTTGTTAGTAAGGAGTTGTTACTAAGGACTTGTCCCTTGCTTTTTATTTGACGCGTGTGATCATCATAGCGCTCGCTGAAGGTGTTTGCCATCAGGGAAGTAGTGTACTGTATGCGCAACTGCGCACAATTCTGTGAGTTGCTTGTAACTTCTTTGCCGTTAGTTATTGCCAGTTATGGACTCGGACTGTTATCCTGTCATAGAGTCCCTGGCACGTAATAATATGCAACACGGTGGCAGTGGGGGTCGCATAATGCTGATTTATCTATATATATAAAAGGGAAATGTGTGGATACGCATGTCTGTTCGAAATGTTTAGCAAACTTCCCAACATGCTACACACTTGATATTTGGCATGTGGGTAGGTTCCATACTGTACACAATGTAAAAAGTATAAAAATGTACTTTTGTATTTTGTATGACCTTGAAGTTTGTGACGTCAACCCACAACACACCTGAGTTAAGCGCCCTGCAATGCTTACCCCTACCATATGGCTCTTCGCGCGCCGTACTTCTAGAGCTGTTAACAGCGTGCCGGGAGATTTTAGGTGGCGCTTTGCTCCTGGCCGATGAAGCAAATGGCTTCTCGGAGTTTCAATACATATCCGTGTGAAGAACGGGTAGAACTGCTATCTTAAATATGAAGCAGAACATTACATCTGTTTGTTTGTGTGAAGCAGCAAAACCTCTCCAACGCTGAGCTCTGGCATCATGAAATTTTCACAGCTTATGCTGTTTGGAATTTCTAAGTGAACGCGACTATTTTCAGCTCGCCACGTCATTCCCTTCCCGAGTTCCCAAAATCGACCTTATGTAGAATTGGGTTAAGGTTGAATTTCCTTGAGTGAAAACATCCGATTTAGGTAACTTGATTTGTTTTGGCATTTTTCTTTCTTGCAAGCATGAATTTTTTTTCAGGGATTTTCAGTGAAAGATAAGGGAATATGAAATTTATAAAAAGACAAGAATCCAAGTCCCAGAAGAAGCCGGGTAGTGAAGCGAGTTACTAATAAACCCCAATGATCCGATCGAAATGAGGGATTTACATCGGATCGTTGGGTGGGCACGTGCCACCCCACCCCCACTGGCTCCACCACTGTCACACACTGGCATGGTTTACAGGTGGTGGTGTGTCCAGACCCACGCCTGGCCACCTTCACCTGCTCAGAATTCATCCTTCCTCACTCCACCAAGTAGAGTGAACACCGCCACGCGCCCAGAGTTAACACCGCCACGCGTCCAGAGTAAACACCGTCACGCGTCCAGATTGAACACCGCCATGCGTCTAGAGCGGACACCACACGCGTCTAGAGTGAACACCGCCACGTGTCAAGAGTGAACACCACACACGTCTAGAGTGAACACCGCCACGCGTCTAGAGTGAACACCACCACGCGTCTAGAGAGAACACCACCACACGTCAGGAGTGAACACCGCCACGCGTCTACAGTGAACACCGCCACGCGTCTAGAGTGAACACCACCACGCGTCTAGAGTGAACACCACCACGCGCCCAGAGTGAACACCGCCACGCTGTTGCCTCACCTTGTGTTGTGGGCAGGTCACTTCTGAAAACAAAAGCGGCACAGCAGCTCAAACGGGCTTGGCCTGGTAAAAAAAGAATGAAATAAAAACTGTGTGAATATTTAAAAGTAAAACAAAGTGACAAAGTGGCGAGCCGTGTGAAGACAAATTAAACTTAAGCGAGAGAATTGAAGCAAACGCGATCAGGCGAGGGCAGGAGACAACGCCCCGCGTGGCTAGGCCCCGCGCTCTAAAGTTCCAACCTGGACATCGCTTCCATGCTCGCTGCTACTCAATTGACATCCCTACGAGATAGAGAGCGAGGCTCTACCTCGGTAAACAACAACAACCACCACCACCACAACCACCACAACAACCACCACCACTACAACAACCACCACGACAATCACCACCACTACAACAACCACCACAACAACCACCACCACAACAACCACCACAACAACCATCACCACAACCACCACCACAACCACCACCACAACAACCACCACTACAACAACCACCACAACAACCACCACCACAACAACCACCACCACAACAACCACCACCACAACAACCACCACAACAACCACCACCACAACAACCACCACCACAACAACCACCACAACAACCACAACAACCACCACAACAACCACCACAACAACAACCACCACCACAACAACCACCACAACAACCACCACCACAACAACCACCACAACAACCACCACCACAACAAAAACCACCACCACAACCACCACCACAACAATCACCACCACAACAACCACCACAACAACCACCACAACAACCACCACAACAACCACCACAACAACCACCACAACAACCACCACCACAACAACCACCACAACAACCACCACAACCACCACAACAACCACCACAACAACCACCACAACAACCACCACAACAACCACCACAACAATCACCACAACAACCACCACAACAACCACCACCACAACAAAAACCACCACCACAACAACCACTACCACCACAACAACCACCACCACAACAACCACCACCACAACAACCACCACCACAACAACCACCACAACAACAACCACCACCACAACAACCACCACAACAACCACCACAACAACAACCACCACAACAACCACCACCACAACAACCACCAAAACCACCACCACCACAACAACCACGACAACAACCACCACGACAACAACCACCACCACAACAACCACCACCACAACAACCACCACAACAACCACCACCACAACAACCACAACAACCACCACCACAACACCACCACAACAACCACCACCACAACAACCACCACCACAACAACCACCACCACAACAACCACCACAACCACCACAACAACCACGACAACAACCACCACCACAACAACCACCACAACAACCACCACCACAACAACCACCACCACAACAACCACGACCACAACAACTACCACCACAACAACCACCACCACAACAACCACCACAACAACCACCACCACAACAACCAGCACCACAACAACCCCACCACAACAACCACCACCACAACAACCACCACAACAACCGCCACCACAACAACCACCACCACAACAACCACCACAACAACCACAACAACCACCACCACAACAACCACCACCACCACAACGACCACCACAACAACCACCACAACAACCACCACAACAACCACCACAACACCACCACAACAACCACCACCACAACAACTACCACCACAACAACCACCACCACAACCACCACCACAACAACCAAAACCACCACAACAACCACCATCACAACAACCACCACAACCACCACAACAACCACCACCACAACAACCACCACAACAACCACCACCACAACAACCACCACCACAACAACCACCACAACCACCACAACAACCACCACCACAACAACCACCACCACCACAACGACCACCACAACAACCACCACCACAACAACCACCACAACAACCACCACCACAACAACCACCACCACAACCACCACAACAACCACCACCACAACAACCGCCACAACAACCAACACCACCACAACAACCACCACAACAACCACCACCACCACAACCACCACCACAACAACCACCACAACAACCACCACCGCAACAACCACCACCACAACAACCACCACAACAACCACCACAACAACAACCACCACAACAACCACCACAACAACCACCACCACCACAACAACCACCACCACAACAAAAACCACCACCACAACAACCACCACCACAACAACCACCACCACAACAACCACCACAACAACAACCACCACCACAACAACCACCACCACAACAACCACCACCACAACAACCACCACAACAACCACCACAACAACCACCACAACCACCACCACAACAACCACCACAACCACCACCACAACAACCACAACAACCACCACCACAACAACCACCACCACAACAACCACCACAACCACCACAACAACCACCACAACAACCACCACAACAACCACCACCACAACAACCACCACAACAACCACCACCACAACAAAAACCACCACAACAAAAACCACCACAACAACCACCACCACAACAACCACCACCACAACAACCACCACAACAACAACCACCACCACCTTCTTTGGTTCTTTCGGTAAAGTCACGTAGAATGATAATAAAATAGTTTGTAAACGCCCGGGTACTGTATGTCTGGAACAGCATCTTTTACAGATGGAACTAAATCACGGATTTTATGCACTGTGTTGAATCGGACCTGGATCTTGTGTTTGTTCAGGATTTTGGAGATCTTTTTAGTGACCCCTGCAATGTAGGGTAAGGTGATGGTTTTGAGTGGCTCCACAAGAGGATCCTTCTTCATGACTGGAGTGATGGCTTTGCGGATTGTGTAGTCGGAGTAGCCATTAGCCCTGAGAGCCTGGTGTACGTGCTTGAGTTCACTGGTAATGTGTTCCTGGTCGGAAATGCATTGGGCTCTATGGTATAGAGTCTTGATGAGGGAGTTCTTCTGGGATGGATGGTGGTGGGAATCCGGTTTCAAGTAAGCATCTGTATGGGTAGCTTTCCTGTAGACAGAGTGGCTCATTGAACCATCATGTCTTCTTTTAATTAAGACATCCAAAAAGGGTAGTTTGCCATCTTTTTCGACCTCCATGGTAAATCTGATGGCTGGGTGTATGGAATTGATGTGGTCGCAGAATTGGTCTAGAGCAGGCTGGCCATGTGGCCAGATGACAAAGGTGTCATCAACGTACCTCTTCCATAAGGTCGGGCGTAGAGTGGCAGTCTGGATGGCGTCAGTTTCAAATTTTTCCATGAATACGTTGGCTACAACCGGAGATAGGGGGGAGCCCATTGGGGTGCCCTCAGTTTGTTTGTAGAAAGTTCCATTCCAGGTGAAGTAAGTGTTGGTTAAGCAATGTCTCACCAGGGGGGGTACATCAGTATGCAGTCCTTGATGAACCAGGTCTTCAATGATAGCGATGGTGTCAGGTACCGGGACTTTGGTGAACAAGGACACCACATCAAAACTGACAAGCAGGTCGTTTGGGGACAGGGAAATGCCTTTGATTGTCGATACCAGGTGAGTAGAATTTAGTACCGCAGAGGTGGTTTTTCCAGTGAAAGGTCGCAGTATATCAGCAAGAAAACGAGCCAGTTTGTAGGTGGGGGAGCTGATAGTAGAGACGATGGGACGAAGGGGTGTATCTTCTTTGTGTATCTTTGGAAGGCCATATAATCTTGGTGGTCTGGCAGCAGAGGGCTTCAACGAGAACTGTTTGATCTCATCAATTAATGCTGTTGAATCAGAGATTATTTTGTTCGTTTTGGTGACCAGGCTGTTGGTGGGATCTCTTTTTATTTTTGTGTAGCTGCCATCGTTGAGTAGTTCTTGAATTTTGTTGTTATATTCTGTTTTGTCCATGATGACAGTGGCATTGCCTTTGTCGGCTGAGAGGACGACAATATCATCCCTATTTTTTAATTGAGATAATTCAAAACGTTCGTCTTTGCTGATGTTGCTGGGTGGCAACTTAGCGTTTTTGAGGGTTGCAGCGATTTCAGATCTTGCTACGTCTGCAGAGATGTGACTCAAGCCCTTGAGTGCAACGTCGACATGGGCAATGATATCATTAACCGGTAAGTGTCTCGGTGTGACAGCAAAGTTTAGACCTTTAGCTAAAACGGATTTCAGACCATCAGAAATGGAACTGTTACTGCGATTAATTACGACTTTGTTGACGTCTATCTTTTCGGTGTGTGGCACTTTAGTTTGTAAACGCCCGGGTACTGTATGTCTGGAACAGCATCTTTTACAGATGGAACTAAATCACGGATTTTATGTACTGTGTTGAATCGGACCTGGATCTTGTGTTTGTTCAGGATTTTGGAGATCTTTTTAGTGACCCCTGCAATGTAGGGTAAGGTGATGGTTTTGAGTGGCTCCACAAGAGGATCCTTCTTCATGACTGGAGTGATGGCTTTGCGGATTGTGTAGTCGGAGTAGCCATTAGCCCTGAGAGCCTGGTGTACGTGCTTGAGTTCACTGGTAATGTGTTCCTGGTCGGAAATGCATTGGGCTCTATGGTATAGAGTCTTGATGAGGGAGTTCTTCTGGGATGGATGGTGGTGGGAATCCGGTTTCAAGTAAGCATCTGTATGGGTAGCTTTCCTGTAGACAGAGTGGCTCATTGAACCATCATGTCTTCTTTTAATTAAGACATCCAAAAAGGGTAGTTTGCCATCTTTTTCGACCTCCATGGTAAATCTGATGGCTGGGTGTATGGAATTGATGTGGTCGCGGAATTGGTCTAGAGCAGGCTGGCCATGTGGCCAGATGACAAAGGTGTCATCAACGTACCTCTTCCATAAGGTCGGGCGTAGAGTGGCAGTCTGGATGGCGTCAGTTTCAAATTTTTCCATGAATACGTTGGCTACAACCGGAGATAGGGGGGAGCCCATTGGGGTGCCCTCAGTTTGTTTGTAGAAAGTTCCATTCCAGGTGAAGTAAGTGTTGGTTAAGCAATGTCTCACCAGGGGGGGTACATCAGTATGCAGTCCTTGATGAACCAGGTCTTCAATGATAGCGATGGTGTCAGGTACCGGGA